TGGAATTTTGGATTTGCAAAAAAGTTTGACAGGATGCTGATTTGGCAAGTAGTTGGCAGATGGCTACATTACATATTCACCGTTGAGGGAAGGATAACACATATGATGGTAGACGTAGCATAAAAAGCCTCTGAGTAATCCGAATATGGATGCTGAAAAAAGCACTATTCAAACAAACTTCATATTTCCTTCAAAGAAAAAATGGAAATCTTTTAGCGCATGCGATGAGTTTGCACTTTCTGGATCATGCTTGAAACTAAGATGGGTGGAAGACTGGCCTAGACTGGCCCAGTAATGCCGCTAAGACATGTTGGTTCTAGGTTCGATCCCTGCACTCGACACTCTATACTCGAGAACTGTAAATTGCTACAAGAAAGACCTAAAAGCACTGGAGCATTGACATTGCGATAAGTGACCTCCTAAAATTTTTGTGAAGTTGAGTACATTATATGGCCTCTTTGGCTATGAAGAAAGATGCATTAGCCGCATGCACGAGAAGGTTAAAGCCGTTATCCTTACTATTCCGAAAATGTCAAGATAGTTGTGTGCATCAGCATTCCTAATGGAGAAATGAAAAGAGCCTCTTCATGATTCCTATGCAAGGAATCCAAAGATAAGAGTAGGTATCATTATTGCAAAATCTTTCTTCATCCTCATCTACGACATTTGCCACAACGGCAGAATCCCTCTATATTATAGTGCCGCTTCTGAGCTACTGTATTAACAAATCTCAGCTTACACTTACCATAAATGAGGCGAAGCGATCAATCGATTCTAAAAAATTCGAAATAGTACAGAAACGTCATAACTACACTATAGCGAATTTTTGGAGCTATCCTGATATTCAATTTCTCTGAGAGCATAGCTGCATAGCTTTTGCTAATTTGTGGCACGAATGCAATTATATCGCTGACAAAATAATATTTTTTCAGCAATGACACAATCACTACAGATGGCTAAATATAGACTTTATTGCTTCGATACAGTACCGCAACACTCACATATTTTCTAAAATATATTCAAAACATTAACAAATCAAACATTTCAAGATAAATAGCTATTTGTTCAACGAAATTACACACATTTTGTTCAACGTCGGAAGAGCACGAATCGTGAGAGAGACTTCGGTAGTTGGGCAACAAACGCTTTGGTTGGGCTCGTTGGGGTCGGAGCTGGTGTGGGAGCACCGATGGACGAGACGTCACCAGGTGGACGAGTCGTACAAGGTGAGCTTCTCGTAGCTGCTGCTATGCGTCCGTCCATCATGCCGAGAAGATGTGGAAAATCCAGAGCAGCACACTGAAATGAAAATCTCAGTTCAGTTTCTTAGATTAGCAATAAAATGAAAATCTCAGTCCAGTTTAGATTAGTAGTGAAGTGTCGCCTTCACGTCGCAGCTAACGAACTTATATGATCGTCCTTAAAGTATGGATACCCAGGGACGATTCTGATTCTGAACTGGAGTTGGCCGTTGCGATGCTGCAACCTCAGTTCTCACCAACTGGATCTGTCTTAGATAGTGTGGTGCTCTACTGCAAACGCCTGCTTCAGTTCAAATTTTTGAACCGTCCATGGTATACGAGGATGGGGACGACTATAGCATTAGTATTACCTCAGCTTTTTCCCGTATCAGTAAAGTTCTGTGGACTTCTATCTACTTTTTCTCACTAGTCAATCCCCTTCATCGTACATAATCGAACAATCATTTGTTAGTCAAGGTCGTAAGGCTTCTTCAGGGAGCTAATTGGATCAAAACACAAAAACAAGGAATAATATGGGCCTAATGAGAATGTAGAAAAATTGGCTTAATTGTTAGCTATAAACTAATGAATTTCGGCTTCATTTAGTGCCGAGATTGTGCGGTAAAATTTGCGCTTGGACAATTAGCCACCCAGAAATGCTGACATTTAGCGCGCGCAAGTGGCCGGCATTACAAGAGTAGCTAGCGAAAGCTATCGGATATTCTTCGGATACTTTAGACACAAAATTATTGAAGTCTTGAATAGTTTTGCTTCTTGATGTGATACCCAAACTCATGGTCAGAGAGCAGGGAGGGGGATATTTCGTCTAGCTAGCCACTCTGACAAACAAGGAATTTGCACATGATATTTTCGGATTAAATAGCGCGATGTAAACGATTATTTTTTTCCTTTGCTGAAGATTGTTTCCAAACGAAAAAAAAGCAAAGCAATATTATGAGCATCAATAACACTCTGAAACAAATTGACCACAAACGAAGCTGACGAACGGAAGTTTTTGTTGATATTTTGATTTGAAAAGCAACACAGTTTCTTACAACTTTTTGTCACTTCCATTAATCGTCAAAAAAAATTGTCATCTTGTACCTACCTCAGCTTCATGCTCAGTGAAATCGTCGATATCTACAAGCAGCGAGTCATGCTCCATATGGAGTCCATCGCGCTCAATCAACAGTTGGACCAGCTCAAGATTTTTCTCTG